TATTATTATTATTATTATTATTATTATTATTATTATTATATTATTATAAAGCGCGAAACTTTTTTGAATCATATTGGATCGCATGATCAAATATAGTGTCATATCGTCATATATAATTTATATAATTTCAAGATTATCGACCATATCTGGGTTTTATTAGTAACATATTTCGAAGATTTTTCAATAAACTTTATCTGAATTATTCTGAAATAATTGTGTTTGCTTCATTGAAACAAACACACTGTTAAACACCACAAACCGTAAATGAGCGAAATATGTTCAACAAAAATATATAATATTTATTGATAATATAGCAAATTTGTTGTTTTTCGTAAATGTCTAATACATTTTATTATAATGAATATGCCACTATTTTTGACTCAGATACAGTATAATTAGGGTAATTTTTAAACAATTTTTTTTATTAGGGTTCAGCGTGGGAGCTGTTTGGGGCACAGGTCGCATCTGTCTCCGGCCGGCTCTAATAAAAACTTCATATAACACAGAGAAAAAATCCACAAGTATAATTCAACTAGTTCATAAAAAAGCCATTTTAATAATTCTCTGAACATAGCTCCACCCATAACTAATGCGCCGGAACAAATGAGGGTATGGATTTTTTTCATCTTTTTTTTCTCTATGCTTCTTTTATCCCCCACGAGTTTTTTTATGTGCAAGGACCGCGACGGTGCGGGGTAGTTTTTTCTAAACCCTGTAAAAAAGGCGTTCACTCGCTCAGGGTGTGTATTTTTTCAACGTCCAATAACAAAAAGAAATATGGTATAGCGTGCATTATTACCTACCCAATGAATTGTAATGTTATTGTTTCATAATTGCGCTTCTTTTCTTTGCGATCACGCAGGAAAACGAACGTATTCATTTTTTGAGTGACGTCGGCAATGTTTTATTTTTTTATGCATGTGATCAAATGTAAATATAAGGGTGCGTGTCAAAATTTGAATGGATTTGCAAGGGTAAACATTAAAAAAAAGCTTTTTTGTATTTTTTTTCTTTCGAAGGGTATAGAAAAAAATGAATGTGATAAACTTACCCATATTAAATAAACATAAAATCGTTTTTTACAATATTAAGTGACGATATGAAATGATAATCTGATATTTAAAGGTTGCCCAGAAAATTACTCGAAAATTAAATTAACTTTAAAAACAAAATCAAAAGATAGAAAAATTGAACAAAAATAGAGTAATTTATCATTCTATAACGCATATATGTTGGGTGGAACATGGTTTAGAGATACGCGGGTAAAAAGGTCCACCATCATTATCTTAAAAACAAGTATAGAATTTTTTAGTGTTACTATATAAAATTTCCTTCTGACCCTTCTTACCCCGCATACGGAGAAAAAAGGACAAATGATAAATTTTAGAAAAATAGAAAAAAAAAACATATTTCTATAATTAGGTGTGAACTGGTTCATTTAGTTTAGGCAGTAATTACTGAAAGTCAAATCGGACCTTTTTGTCTCACCCTACCCTATATATATATATATATATATATATATATATATATATATATAGTTGCACTTGAATGTTATTTCCTATATCAAAAACTTGTAAGAATTTGAATATTGAAGTTCGTAACGTCTGTGTAGGGAGTTATGAGAAAGTTCGACAGTCTACGTTAACGCGCTGAGGGGCAAACGATATCTTATTATTAAAAATATTTCTCGTGTCGCTGTAAACCAAATTCAAAAATATTATAAATACTGATTGAATTGCAATATAATAAAATCAATTATTACCATCTTAAAAATGATAAGATTTACATTACGTTACGTTAAAATATTATTATAAAATAATAATATCTCGTAAAATGAAGTATTATTGTATTAAATAATGGGTAGTACTACCCTAGGGTAGGTCAGTGAGCCGAGTTAAGCACCAACTCGATTCAGGGAAGAATAGTGTGAGAGGTTTTCCATTACCATTTCACATCGCAGTGTTCAGAATGGGCTAATTGAAAACATAATTTTGATCTATATTTTCAAGTGAAAATGGACATGAACGAAATCAGGTTGCCAGAGCCGGGGCATGAACTTGGAAACCCGCCCACACGAGGAAGCGCGGTAAACCGTTACGCCAAGAAAGGAAATGAAATACTATATCATATACCTATTGCATTTATTATACTAAGGTGACCATACGTCCCGGATTGGGCGGGATAGTCCCGGATTTCCACCTTGTGTCCCGCGTTATTTTAAAAGCATGATTTGTACCGGATTTAGATCTTTTGTCCCGGATTGTCCCGGTTTTTCAAAAATTAACAGAAGAATTAACAATAATTATGAAAACAAACGAACAAGTGCTATTTTTTTCAAAATATTTATTAACAAAATAGTATAGAATATTATACAAGGCTCAAAAGCGCGAAAAACATATAAATCCATATAAGATCATAGATGAAAAAGTATGACATATAATCGAATAATAAATCAAAATAATAAGTCCTTACTAAAAGTCCGCAATTATTATAAAAAAAGATTTATATAAAAAAACTGTTATTATATACTTCCCGTCCCGGATTAGCATAACTGAAAACTGCCATCCCGATTTTGACTTATGTTAAAATATGGTCACCTTAATTGTACATATTATAGAATGATTATAATTTGACGAGTTTTCAACTATTTCAACTTCTAAAACTATTTTTTTATTATTTGTATGGTAAAAGGAACGAACATTATTCGAAATCAGAATGCTAACAATAAGTCAAAGGTACGGGTCAGCGACCCTCACGCATTTAGAGGGGCGGTGGTGTTGTGCGTATTCGTATTTAATATCCGGCCGGTACGCGGGTATCTGTTGCGAGTCGCAATCGCAAGAACAGGGATAGCATCTGCGTCCCGATATTTCATAGTTCATCGTGTGCCATCTCGTACTCGACCACGCACAAGTGCGAATGCGATCAACACAAAAGAGCATCATAAGAAGAAAACGAAACGAAAGCATGAAGTCATCCATTCTCGTTACTTCTTTTGTAAATCAAAGCATCGGCCAAGGTCCTGATTTGTGTTATTATATACGTCATCGGTTACTCGTTGATCGGTTTTCTCTTCCGCACAAATCAACCCTTGGGCTCTCATCTCGCGACCGATGATGCAGAGTAGCATCTCGATAGCGGACTCATTGACAGGCTGCTTGCAGCTGCTGTTTTTGCTTGCAAATACATTTACATCGACCTATATGCATGTAGTCATTTGTACGTACTCATAAATACTAAATTATGACACATAAAAAATATACACGTAGTCGAAGTACTCAAAATATGCATAGACTCACAAACCACATTTGAAATGTGCTTACACACCACGTGTGCGTAAGCGACATCTAAAGACAAATTTATTGGACCACAAACTGTGTAAGCCGCCGTGACCATAAATATTGCGACTCACTAATAGTAATAAATTTTACGTAAATAAATTTAGATCAAAAACAATAATTGCACTTTTTAATTATTTTTTTAAACAAAATTTCTAATAAGTCGAATCTTTTGATCTCTGCTCAGTTAATTTCATGTGACAAACCGGCATTGTGTTCACTGTGGAATTGTGCAAAAAATGTAAAAAAATAAGTTATTCGTTTCCTAACATTTCAATTAGAAACCATCAAATCAATCACGTGTATTGTCAAATTTTTTTTCAATTTCAACAGCAGACAATTTTTTTGTTCATCTCTTAATCACCAAACAAAATGTTACATAAAATGAAACCATCCGGTGGTGAAACGGAGTTTGCCCGGTTTGCTAGTTTTTTTTATATAAATATTAATTATTCGGTATTTGTAAATGAATTATAATATTTGGTATTTGTAAGTTCTCTAAATAGTGACATCAATTTGTATCATATATAGTCATCAATAAACATCCTCAAAATTTATATGAATTATAAAGGTTAATTTATTTTTTGATATATACTATAGATAAAAACATAAGCCCAGAAAATTTAAATAATAAATTCGGGTTCTAAGTCAACTATATAAAACAAATATATCGAATAAGAAGTTTATTGCTGATATTGGTACTTGAAATTCAAAAGCGCGTCTTGTTGTTTTCAAGAGAGATCTCTGAATAATTTTATTGAATACATTCTTTGCTATCTTCACAAAAAACGATTTTGCATGCATTATGAGTTGTTGAAATTTAAAGTAGTTTAGAAGATAAAAAAATAATTTGCATTTATTATGAAAAAAAAAGTGAGTAACTACTTCATATAATTGGGGATCTATTGTAAGGGGCAGCTGGTGATAGGGTTATAATAAAGTCGAAACTGTACTCGGCATAACCAGAAATCGATATATCGTATTTCATGATCTAATTTTTTTGTTCCACATTTTAACTTGATTGATATAAATTAAAATGATTGACTTAACAATATTAAATGTACTACCCAAAAATTCCTATTTATCTGGGAAAACAAAAGGAATATATGAAAAAATAACATAAAAAGTCGTATTATGAAGGGGTTAAATGAAAATGAAACAAATGAAAGCTTAAAACAAAAATGAAAATTAAAAGTCGCGTGAGAGATTTCGCCGTCCAGTGGACATTTAATGGAGGG